TCCCTGCTTAGCAATTTTTATCAAATTTTTGTATTTTGGCTCAACACCTTTTATGTCCATTTACAAACACATTCCTTTGAGGATTTCACAGAAAACGTTGATTAAAGGCACAAAAATATAAATTTACAGTTTCCATGGACTCTCCAGCTTAGGAATTTACCAAGCTTTGGCGGCCATTTTCTTGCTAATATTACCTCTTAAATCAGGTGACCCCCACCTCCTTCAATCCAAAATATCTCCACTTCTATTGAAGATGGATGGGTAATTTTTTCATGGAAAGCAACACAAATGAACAAGCTTTAGGATGATAACAATAACTCAATATGCCCAAAAATTGACGAGAGCCTGATTCCACCACGCTGCCTCACACATATACTTCAATTAACAGACTAGTTCCCACATGTTACTCATACACACAAACACATATCAACACAAAGAAAAACACACACACACACACAAAAGTTGCAATAAGCTTCTACAATCTTTGTTGTTTTTTTAAGGGTAAAAATAAATACATTGACTCATCAGCGGCGACTGAATAGCGGGAACAAAAGCAAGATAGACAGTTAAAACATAAAGGAATGGGGCATACGTAGAACCTACCAGTGGCACCTTCTAGCCACCCAAGTAAATTTTTTTGACTGGCAAAGTTACCTGAAAGAGTAAACTACTGTCCCCTAAAAACAAAGAAAACATTTCAACCACCCAGTGTACGACTCTTTCATTCATCACTTTTTCAAAATGGAATACGGCAGAATCATACACTTAGCAGTCAGTTTGAAAGAAAGGTGATGGATAAGGAATGTTGGAGGAAGATTACTACACAAACGAAAGCCACAGGCACCTTCCAGGCATTTGCAAATTGCTGTGTACGTCTGGATGAAAAATAAATCAGGATAGGACAGAGCTCAAAAATTATTTTCAAAGTATAAAATAATAACGGAGGCATGACTTAATGGGGGAAAAAAGTGTTGCAAGATCAACCATAGAAAAATGTGGAATTTATCAAAGCAATATTGAATTAAGTATTCACAAATACAAAAATGTTGTGGAGAAACCCAACCAGCACATTCAGAACACACAAAGCAGCATGAGAAGTACAAAGCATTAGGATTGGCAGATGACTCCCCAAATTCGTTTTGAAAAAACATAAACATAGGTGACCAAGATTTTACATTTGTTTGACAAAGCAATGACAAATCAAGGGAAATCGTTTATAAATTATAAATTATAGTAATAAAGCAATTAATGTTTTAATGATTTATGAATTAATTTTAAGGATAAAGCAATTGGAACAATACAAAGTTTTCAGGATCCACAAAGTTTTAAATGGGAGAGAAAAGTAGGGGGTGGGGATCAAACAGATGTCTCAATCCCATCTACTTTGTGATGAGGATTGTGAAGGACTGCACCATTCAGAAACCTAGCCAGGTATCTGAGCGTACACTGCAGGCACCTCCCTCCAAGCTTAGAACCTTCCCTCTGCAAGGGAGATACTTTAAGACCTTCGAGTATTTCTCCTACTTCTGTACAACTCACAGCCCCAAACACAACCAGTCTGGATGATTGCACACAATAAAATGCTCATAAATAACATAGTAATGGGAATCAGTCAATCAAACCGGCAGACTAGACATAAGGGTAAAACATCATGGTAGCAAAGCTAAAAATAATCAAACCAGAAAACAAATGACTTAAAATCAGGCCTCCCAGAACATCAAAAATCACAAGTAAATTTTAAAAAGCAGTAACTCATGCTAGCTAAAAAGAGATGCACCAATACCACAGTGACCTTGCGGCCACTGAAAACATGGAGAAAAAAAAATAATGACAAAAAAAGCAAAGACAGAAAAAAAAAAAAGAAAGAATGAATAAAACTGAAGTAAAATAGAACAAAAAGGCTGAAAGAAAATTAGAACAAACAAATAAAAAGGAGAAACACAGGAAGTAACAACACAGTAAAAAAAAAAAATGAATAAAGGAAAGAAATGATTCCATCACGAACATGCAGGCATCACAAGAGGGCCAAACAGCCTCTGGCACATTAGAATCTCAACATGCAGACATTGCAAGGAATGTGAAACACTCTAGACTCACACCGGGGGCCAGAATATTTTCTGGGTGCGTAGATTGCGGAAAAGAAAGAAAGAAAAATATCAAAATGGCTTTGGCTGTCTCTCGTTCAAAAATTTCACTCATTGCTGACAGGGAAAAGAAAAAAGGTAAGACTTGATATTTACACTGCACCTAATAGCGCATTGAAAGAAAAAGGGAAATGTATACACGGCTTAAAGCAGAGGAAAAATTCACATATATGAAATTTATACATTGCTGAAGAGAATCAAACAACAATCTGAAGACAAATGGTACAAAAACAAAATGACAAGTGTCAAGAATTGCTCAAGGTCAAAGAAAAGCACATTGCAGGCATTAGTTGCAAGTTTAATAGTGTAGACCTACATATTAAAACTGAAAAGGGAGAAAGCTATATTTTCCCCCAAACTGCAAAGAGAGATAAATAATTTAATATTAATAAATCTACATATGACTAAAAAGAGCAAAAGCAATCAGTACGTAACATACCCACATGCACATCCAGCAACTGAATTTTACAAATTCATCAAGTCAATGGCAGACAGTGGCAGGTAAAAAGTTATGTAAGAAACAGCATTGATACACTGAACACACACACACACGCACACACACTGTGTGTGCGTTGAATGACACTCACCAGCACTGCAGCGAGAGAATCATTAAACCCCAGAGCGCTGACAGCTCCCATCTCACTCCTTTCATTGTAAAAAAAACCCTCACCCCTTCCCAACAAAAAAAAAAAACTCTTTAAAAACTTAATGGCTAAGACTAGACATGAGAAAATGAGAAAAACAACCCACATGCATTCCCCAACTCTTATCTTTTAAAATTTTTTTCAGTGCAGGTGGGTTTTTTTTACACCAAGCCCCTTCCCCTCCCCCCCCCCTTCCTTTTCAATTGTCTGACAAATAGCATAGAAAAATTATCTTATTTAAAAATCTGTATAATCAGACCAGTCTCAACGGATGTAGAAATCTCCAAGATACCAGTACCCTTGAGCCCAAGTAGGTACGACAGTCAAGATAGAAACTGGCTGTAGACAACAACAAGAAAACAGCTTTCACAGTTACTCATACCGGCAAAAACTGGTCATTATCGGGTCATCAACTGGCGGTAAACTACAACACAACAACAAGACACGGTCAAATTGGCAAATAGCTGGACAGGAAACAACAGTCGATGGCTGGTAAGGAACAAGAGAAGTCAACAACAGGTCAACAAGATGATGTCATGGCAATGCCCACCGTGACTGCTCGCATTACAACCCCCCTCCAGTGAGGCAGACATTAAAATTGGAGTTGATCTGAACCCAGAGCTCACACAGCCTTAGAAAGTTGACGCAATAAAAACATTAACCTTTTTACACCATTTTTCAGCAGAGTGTAAATTTGTTAAAACTGTCAGTGTTTATAAGCCTCCATCGATAAAATTTAGATCATTTACGAGACAGGCTTCTGACCCTGTCAATTGGAGCCAACCCAGGCTGAGAGAGATACAATATCCCAGCAGAAAGACTGGATATTCTATTAAGACAAGATTTTCTCCCTATTTGGGAATCTAACTCGAGCCTCTTGCAAGTGACATCAAAGTGCCAAACCACTACACCACAGATGCCGGTGCAGAGGCTATAAATAATAGATTGTGATGATGAAGTGTCGATATCTCTTATACTTGTACAATGATCTACAACAACACAAAATTACTGAAACGTTTCATGAACTGACAATAGAATAACCTAATACTGCTACACTGACTTTTCGTTTTTAGTTCAACATCAATTTAATAATAACTGTACACTTAAAGAAAAAAAAAACCCTTACAAATGTTTTTTCCCTCCTGACCCCAAACAAACTGAACTACAAAAATATTTTTGAGAAGTGATGACGGAAGTGCAATCAAGTTTACACTACTTGCACTAAAAGCAAGAAAAAAAAACCCCTTCGTAAACCACAATGATGAAAACGGCTCAAAGTCAAAGGAACTACTTCTAGCAGCCATTGTCTGATTAGTGAACACTGCCTATAAATAAAATATGTTTGAACAAGGCTTATCATGACTACAACAACAATCATGAAATATAACTTGGTCTGAACTCTCTGCCAGCTATAAAAAAAAAGAGTCACTATTAAAGCCAGTTCACTAAAGGATGACATTGACACTAAGGCATCATATCACAGAATGCCATAATCGGCACTGGGAAACAACTGAATAGAAAATTCGTCCAGGCATTCCTCTGTCATACGTCTTTGAGGAAGATAGGCTGGTAAAAGTAAAGTATAACCAACCAACCCCCCCCCCCCCTCCCCATGTCTTTGCGCACCATATCAACAATCCCAGTCAACTATTTTCTGATGTTCTTGTAAGACATAGCAGCATCCCTACTTGATTCCCCCC